GCGCTGATTGACCAGACTTTACTCAATAATAACTCCTTTATTAAGCGTTATATAAAAAAATGGTACAGGACTTTTCTGTTTAGTTTACTGTGCTCTACGTGCTCACGAGCGTTGTCAAGGGTGCTTTGGGACACCCTGTATATATATATATATATATATAAATACATATTTGAGTAAGAGACTTCTCTATATAGAGTTAAGAATTTTGAGAATCATATTAATCTACAAATCTTGTAAATAAGGTATTCAAAAAAATGAAAAAATATAACAACGTAAAAGAGATAATTATTATGAAAATGCGGATCTAATAAAGTTTATAATAAATAAAATAAGTTCGGTATATTTTTAGAATATGGGTTTCTCTCTCTTAAATAATACGATATGACGAATGGCATAATATTAAAAAAAAAGAATTAGAGAAACTAGTATAATAAGATTATTTTCTCTTAGATTGCAATAATGACTTTTGTCAGTCATACTTAATTCAGTATTAAGATGTTTGCAAAATTGATAGCGTGCATTTGCTTCGACACAGACATTTATATCGTTGATAGCTAATTACTGATAGCGCTTATTCGTTGCTTGAAGGTTATTTCAATCGTTGCTAACTCGGTTCAAGTTCAACCATTAAAATATCGATTTGCTAATTTCTCGTTAATGTCCGTGATTGACGAGCAAAGTCCCGCATTGTAATTTACAACTAATCGAAAACTCATTATACGTTCAAAATCTCATAATTTTATTAGAACTTTTGCTTTTCGTATAATTGCATATTTGTAAAATTACTCTACAATTATTTTTTAATTTTGAACTATTTTTATAAATATATTAATTTAATATTATTTAAGATTTAATTTAAAAAAAATATATTCTAAGACACATTATTAAAATAAAATAAGATTTAGCTAGAGAGGACATGAGAAAATTAACGACATTCTTTACAAAAATTAATATCTCATATACATAAAACAATTTGAAATAATAATAAAATTCCAAATAAAAAAGTAAAAAATGGCAAATATTGAAGCTTTAAGATGTGCTGTTTGAGTATTAAAGAATAGTATTATATAATTCTAACAAGAATGATATTTTATTTCTTGATAAATGCAACTGCTAACATTTTATGGAAAGATCAATTGATCATACAAAGAAAGCAAAATGCGACATCAAATAGAGGATCACATTGCCTATGTCCGACAATGTTTGCATAATGTTCAGTGTTTAACGTACCATATTTCAAGCGATTTACAGCATGCGAACGTTTTTC